CAGCCAGGATTGAGAAATGCCCTACCTTTCCCCCTACCTGTTTCCTGCCAACTTCTCCTCGACCAGGTTGTTAAATACCCCTCCCTGCCCCAGCCAGTAAACCAGGCATCTCCCAGAGCAGTTGGCACTAGCATGCCTACCTGGATGAGTAGAAGGCTGCCGGCCCCTCCTCTGCAAGTTCCTCTTTCAGGGTAGGCTCTAACTCTCTGTGGATACAAGCATTCCAGTTCCCTACATATTCACATACTATGAGCACCTGTTACTATCTCTTTCTCTCTTAATAGCCTGGTGCTTGTTCTTGCCTTGCAAGTGTAGCGGGATTTTTTTTTTTTTCTTGAAAATAGCAAAATTCCTACCTCAGGAAAACATGAGAACTTCCCTAGGGGCTGTACTCATTTGGCTGCTCAAGGGGCTCACCGCAGCACTGGAGCTGAGCAAGGGGCCTGCTCGGGGCTTGGCAGCAGATGTAAGAGAAACTGGAGATTGAGTGGGACTTGAACCCAGAACATTTGGGGGAATCTAAGAAACCTTTCTCTCTTGAGGATGTTGGCCCCAGGAACATTTTGAAGAATTATACCCGCATCCTTAGCTCACAACCAGCTGCCTGCCTTCCCATGGCTACTGCTTCTGTTCGCTCCCCTACCCCTCCACTCAGCCTGCCTTTGGATTCGTTCCTCCCTCCTGTGTCCCCCGACTCCATGCCTCACTGAATGTTGGTGAAACAAATCTAGTCTAAAATAATGAGCAATCAACTACCCTGATGCTTGGGGCAGGCTGGGCAAGGGCTTGGGGGGAAGGGGTAGGGAGCTGAATCATTTATAAAGCTTAATAAAGATGCAGATGAGCATGCTGACTAAGAGCCCCAGAGCCCGGCTTATTCATTATTCAAAGTTATGTAAATGCCACTGGGTCCTGTGTGTTACAATCCTGCCCCTTGTCCCTGCTGCTTCCCCCAGCCTGACATACCCGGCCCAACGTGTGCCTCCCCTTCTCCCCAACGCCCGGGTGCTTTCATTCACCCTGCCTGACGCCCTGGCCCACATACCCATTTCGCACTCTTTCTCCAGGGTAATAAAAATCTTCCACCTTCTCTCTAGCCAAAAGTCTTCCAAAAGCTTGTGGGGAGGCCTTGGCCTTCAGGCAAACCTATATAGGCCCACAGAGATGGGCTTCTCATTTTTAAAGATTTCCAAGGAAAGAATACCATAAGAGAGCTTATATACATATTTTAATTTCTCACAAATCTACTTAGTGGGATGGATTTCCTGAGGTCTAACACAAACCCCTCTGGCTGCACTAGAAGCTCACCATCGAAATAGAATATCCACTAACCAAACTCTCTTTAATCACTCTTCTGAGAAGTAAAATGCAAGCATTAAGTCACGCTCCAGCCGACTGTCTCCAGGCTAACTCATCCTCGTTGCCTCCTTGTTTACCTTTCTAGACAATTGAACTGCCTTCCAACATATACTCACACTCTTTAAGCTCTTAAACCTGTTCTGGGATGCCAAACTCTGGCGAGTGTTTAACTAGAACTACACTATATACCTCCTCTTTTCCATATCATGATTACTGATTTGTACACCGCAGTTGCCTATGTCTTAGGACTCAAATTATTTTCCTCTGATTCTCCTCTCTCTGTACCAGTCTTTCCCTTTTTCCCCATCACCCCCTAATTTTTCAGCTTGGTGAGGCTAAGAGATGAAGAATTGGGTCAGAGGCGCAACAGCATCGATTGCCTCCGCTTTCCCTTCTTTTCTGGACTAGCTCTCCTCCCTCCCCACCCCCAATCTATTTTTAGCCTGCCTCTGTCTTCCTTAGTCTGGTTGGCAACCATGCTGGCCTCTTTCTCTTCGCTGCCCTTATCTCTCTCCTGCAGCCTGTGCAGACCCCAGCTGCCCTTCCAGAGGTTTCATTGCCTGCTCGATTTATTTTGATTTTCTTCCATCTTGAAGATCCGTCGTGTCTGCCTGAAAGGGGGGATGCCTGGCCACACTGAAGCAGAAGGGAAGCAGGGAAATAGTGCTGGTGGGTCTGTGTGGGCAAATCTTTCAATGTTACTAAACGTTTATGGTGTCTCTGACTCCTTCTACAATGGTTTGTCCTCTCTCTCTTCTACGCTCATAGACTGTTCCCTACATTTTCTCTTCCCCTCTATGACCCCACCTCACCCCCAATAAGAAACGCTAAGTTCCCCCACTCGAGCACTCTGGACCATTTTCCTTTGGTTTTGGGGTGTGCAACACTCCTGGAGGTCCTTGTCTGCCTTCTTGGCCTGCACATTGCCAGTCTCTTCTTATCCGATTCCCGCTTCTCTCCACTTGACCCTGACCATATCCCTCCCACAATACCCGTCCTATCCTTCACGCCCCGTCCCTCCTTGCACTCTGTTTCTAGGACACACTGGCTCATTTGTAAAGGGCCTTAGCCCGCTTAGGCAGGGCTTGTCAGCATCCCCCACTTGTCCTTTCTCAGCTTCCTCTAGACATTGGTCCCCTCCTTTAGCTGTCACCAGCAAGCTGAATTAGACTGGATATTTTAGAAGGGGAGCTGCAGCTGGCTGGGGGAGGAGGGTGGCATGGAGAGAAGCAGAGGCAGAGAGAACTGTGGGCAGCCATGGAACAAGAGAGAGAGATTCTCAGCACCCAACTTTGGAGCGGTTCTCCCCAACTTTGCCAGCTCAAGAGCTGGCAGGATCTTACGCTGATCCCTCTCTGTACCTCATTTTTCTCTCACATACACAATACCCTGTTTTACAATTTACCACATTCTCTTACATACATCCAGATACCTGCATGGCGTACTCCCTCTCCTCCGAATCTGCTCAGATGCCCCCTTCTCCGTGAGTCCTACCCTGACCACCATTGAAAAGGGCAGCCCCTCCCCTTGCATTCTCTATCTTCCTCACCCTATTGTTCTTCCCCAGTGCACCTGTCACCTTCTAACGTATGATATAATTTACTTATACATATCATTCACATTTCTTCTCCTCACTAGACTGTAAATGCCACAAGAGCAGAGATTTACATCTGTTTCATTCACGAATACATCCACAGTGCCTAGCACAGTGCCTGGCACACAGAAGAAGCTCAATGAATATGTGTGTATTGAATGAATAAATGACTGAATGATCTTATTTGATTCTTACATACTCCCGTAGAGTTGGTTGACATTGTTATTCTCATTTTTTTTATCACGGTAAAATATACATAACATAAAATGTACCGTTTTAACCATTTTTAAGTGTACAGTTCAGCGGCATTAAGTATATTCATTTAAACCGTGTTTATGTTTGTGATGTGTCAAACCATGACGTTGTGAAAGCATCCCCACCATCTATCTCCAGAACTTTTTTATCTTCTCAAACTGAAACTCTGTGTTCATTAAACATTAACTCCTTATTTCTACCTCCTCCAGCCCCTGGAAACAACTGTTCTGCTTTCTGTTTCTTTGAACACAATATTGGTCCTTTAGTGTCTGGCTTATTTCACTTAGCATTATGTCTTCAAGGTTCATCCGTATTGTGGTATTATGCCCATTTTATAGATATAATTATGATGATGATGATGATGATTCCCACTTTACAGAGGATGAGGTTCAGGGAACCATTTGAGAGTACCTAAAAAGCAGAGTCGGCATAGAGTTGGTAGGGTCGGCTGGATTTTATAATTCTCTGGAGAAATCAGTGCTAATCCATGTGCCTAGGCCTTATAGGCACAGCAGTTGAAGAGTAATTTCCTCTCCGCTTTATCTCCTTTGGGAACTCTTATTCTCATTTCTCACTCTTCCGCACTCAGTGACTTCTCCTAACATTCCCATTGCCACCGCCCCCCTCCCCACAGTCCCAGTTTTTCCTTCCCCAGAGCACTTTAGCTCCTTTCTCTTGGGTCAAACTGGCCTGGTCTGGAGATCTTCCTCCTTGGGTTTTATATGAGTGTGATAAGTCTTGCCTGAGTCTCTATTTGCACCCCTCACCTCTCCTCCCACCCTGGGGTAGTTATGAGCCTATTTCCTTTCAAAGCAATTAGTGCAAGGAGGCCAGCTGACTCAGTGCTAATGCTGTTTCATTAAGTGGGAGCAATCCTAATGATAATAAAATGGCACATTTAACATTCAAACATTGAACAGGGTTTCTAAGCAAGTGTGTCTCTCTTTCTTTCTGGTATAACAGCTCCATCTTCATAAGGACCTGACAATACACCTTAATGAGAAACTGGAACTGAGCCTCTTTACAGAACCAGAGAGAGGATGAGAACCAGACAAAGAATCCAGAGAAAGAGAGTATAGTGCATCAAGAGGATAAAAAACCCCAAGAATTCCTAGGGTAATGGATTATGTGGTGCTGATTTAAACAATTAAAGTCTGAAGAAATGAGGTCACATGGAAAATAAAGCCAGCCCAGACTTTGATGCAATGCCGCAATTGATTTGTTTATTCAACACATTTTTTCAACAAACATTTGTCGCATACCCAAGATGAGCCAGATTTTATGGGAGTTTGTGATGGAGGGAAAGGGAATTAGTTTTAGGAAAAGGAACTCTAAGGGTAGCAGTCATCTACAAATCACCTTGTTTACCGTCTCCTGGACAGCTTCAGTAAAATCCATCTCAAGTTCATCAAATGCCCCAGTGAAGAGAATCTTAGCAACTGCTTTTGTCTCCTGAGCCCTTATGTCCCCTCATCATTAAGACATCCACCTCAAAGGTCCTTGCTATTCTGTGATTATAGAATATCTGATTGACCTTCTGGAAGCAAAAAAAAAAAAAAAAAGCGAAAGCAAAAGAAAGAGAGAGAGAGAAAGAAAAAGAAAAAAAATCTTGGGATTGGGGAGCTGGCCAGGAAAAGAAGAAGGTAAATTCAATCATCTGGTGTTTGCTAGGAACTCAAGAAACCAGGAGAAAAGGACATCTCACAGACACTTTCTCCATCTGAGAAAATTTCTCCAGCAAAGGGCTTTATTCCCAGCTCCTGTACACCAAAGGGAGGCTGCTGGTTAGGGATCAAAGGAGAGCTTTGCCCAGGCCAGGGAAGCGGCTGATTCGAAAAGGTGTCAAGCCATAGTATGGTGTTAATTTCATGCTTAATTCATACAAGATCTTGCCCACAACAGGGGACAGCTTGAATCCATGCCCTAGAAAAAGGAAAACAGGTTGTCAAGCATCCTCAGAGACAGGGCTGGGCCCTCTGGAAGTCCTCTGCACAGTCCACAGATAGGCTTGATTCTCTTGATCATATCCCAAATCCAGATGCTGCCTCCCGTTATGAGTGCCCCTTCTCCGACTGCCCTGCCAGACCCTTATACACTCAGTATCTAGGCTTTGGTCCCTATCTAGCCAGCTAAGAGCATGGAAAACACCACTTTGCCTGGCACTGAGGTAGTTCAGCTTTAAGGCACCCCAGCTCCCCTTCCTCGGGCTCACCAGAGAATCCAGCACCAATGACAATGTTGTCGTACTTTGGGTGTCGGTCCAGAATGAAGTGCTCATCAGGGGTATTCTAGAAAGAAACAGTCACATCTGCGTCCTCTGAGGATAGAGGAGGAAGAACTACAGGCTCAGTAGGGAGGAGACTCGGCCGTAATTTTTTCCAGAAAGAATAGGAATTCAGCATAGGAATGCTCTCTTCGCGCCAGTTCCCCCTTTGGGTATGCCAGACTTTCTCATTTGTCCATCTGCCTCTCTTCTTGCACAGAGCTATGAACACAGTAGGTGCTCAGTTAATGCGTGTAAACTAACTTAGCCAAGATGCCTCAGGCCCTGCTGACATCTGTCTCTTCTCTTTGTCCCTAAGGCCTGCTCAACTAGAATGTCTTGCCAAAAAGTCTTTTAGAGCCCTTCTGGGAAACATTGTGAAGGACTGCCAGGCATAAGCCTAGTTTCCTAATGAAAAGAAATATGAATAACCTCTAATGGGCCCTCTCTGCTAGAGGTGAACCGACCCACAGAAATGAACTCCTTTGTTTCAAGTCACACACTGTATCAGGGGTCAAACAGAGTCTGGCCTGAGCAGCTCATTTTTTTTTCTCCAGGACTGTGAGAGGTCTGGTCCGGCTGCCCGCACCCTTACCGTGTACATGCAGTGTTCCATGATGGCAGGCTCAGGCTGTAGGTCAGGTAAGTGATCTCTGACAAAGCAGCTCAGGATTTGGACATCTTGGATGTCTGAGAATGCTGAGGGGCAGTCCTGCTCCTCGGGATCTGCATTGTTGCCGTGGTGATAGCAGACCTGGCTCCCAATCAGAGCAGTGTGAGCTGTGAGGGCCAGCCTTCCCCCATACCCGCCCAGCCCAGGGGCAGGCTTATACACAGAATGCCCCCCATTCATCATCCCGGCCCTCCCCATTCCTGACAGATGCTGCTTGTTGCCACGCCAGGTTGCCTAGCTGTCCAGTCCCTGCCAGCACTCTGTTTGCAAAGGAAGGGCTCCCTTTGCTGAGCCTCAGGACAGCTATGGGTCTTGCATTTGCAAGTAGCGAATCTGGCTGCTGCCCACTGGGATTTGATGGAATCTGATGAGGGAAGTTACAGCGGCTCCCCCAAATCTGCATGGGCCCCTACTAGCCTTCTCTCAGCCTTTCACTCACCTTCATCAGCCCTGGGTACTCCCTGGAGGGCAGCCCATAGATATGGTGGGGCGCTAGGCTGAGGCCCAGGCCCAGAAAGCATGGAAAGGCCTGGGACACACCATAGCTTCCAGGAACCTTCTCTTTCCAGTAACCTTCTCTTTCCAGTAACACATTGATCCGCAGGGTCTTGAAGCAGGGAGAGGACGTGGGAAATAAAGGGGGAAAGCCAGGGAACTCTAAGACAACGAGAACAGTTTCTTCTGGGGTCCTATAGTCTTTCAATACAAACCCAGATGCCGAACAGTTTCTTCTGGGGTCCTATAGTCTTTCAATATAAACCCAGATGCACTGATTGAATCATACATCTTTTTTTTTTTCACTCAATTCTCATGTCATTTACATGTCACATTGTGTCATGGTGCACAAAAATCTCTGAATCTCTATCTCTTCCCCCATTCTTAATCTTCTCCCATAACTGTACCCAGCCTTCCTTTTTTCCCTCCAGAAGTTAATAATACCTCATTTTACTGAATGCTTATTATAGGCCAGGCCATCTCCTGAGGGCTTTATATATATTATTTAATTTAATTCTGCAACATCCCTATCCCCCATTTTACAGGTTATGAAACTGAGGCTCAGTGAGGTGAATTAATTTGCCCAAAGTTGTCCGCTAGCAAGTGGAAGACCCAGGACTCAAACATGATTCCATTTAACTTCAAAGTTTCTTTTCCAGCTCCCAGCTCCTTTCACCTGGAGAGGCAGCTCAATTCCCAGGGGATGGAGGACTTGGTTGGTCCAAGGACCTGCAGTGATGATGAAGTTCTCAGCTTGGGAACTCTTGGAGGTGGTTTTCACCAAGACCGGTAGCCCTGGTTTTATCTCCATCACCTTCTCTCCATCATGCTCTATGCCTCCCAGCTGTTGAATTGCATCCTGAAAGAGCAGAAGTAGGGAAGAGCAAATGGTTATGTATGTGGTTCACCCTTGTAGAGAAAGAGTCGTTCATTTAGGGCAGAACCTAGATCTCTTCTCCCGTATTGACAAGGCCTAGCAGGGTATATAAAAGTGCCCTGCCCAAAGGTCAAGCCTAAGCCGGCATGGCAAAGGATCTCATCCAGCAGGGGGTCGGAGGGATGACTGACTGGAACCCAGGATGCCCAGACCAGGCATGTTGCCCGCAGTACTGCACAATATCACCTGGAGAGCTCTGAGGGCATAGTCTGCATAGAGAACTCCTCCAGACTTATCCAAGAGCCCCACTTCCCCCCTGGTCAGCCGAATATTGGGGCAACATTGCTTCAGTTCCTCAGATGAAAGACATTGGTGTTCTACCCCCTGCCTAGACAAAGTCGTGTGCATTGTCTTTAATTCTGGATTCTCTTTCATTCCCAGCAGCAGTAGTCCAGTCTGCCTGTTTAAAAAACAAAACAAAACAAAACAAAAACAAACTCACCTGGGGTGAAGGTGCGTGTGAGGGCTCTGGGCCAGTCTCTCTCATCCTTCAGCAAGGGTCCCCGGCCAGGCATCAAGAAGAGCCCCAGCCTCACGTTAGGAAAACAAGTAAAGTCATCTAGATTCTGTCGTTAAGAGTCACAGTGTTATGAGCTGACTTCTAGCTCATTCTCAAGTCTGCCCTTGGCTCTCACTGTGTATAGGTTTACTTATCCTTCATCCCCGCTTCTCAGGATCCATCCCGACATTGAGGGCAGAGATCCTAAGTCTTTTCTTTTATCTCCACACCTAGAAAGAAGTAGGTGTTCAATGAATTTGATGTGATGTCTTCTCCTTCCTCCTGTCCCCTGATCCCATTCACTATTTCATCTCTATTCTTTACCCTCGTTTTCCTGTCCCTTTTCTTGTCATATAATTTTTTTGTCCCTTTCTGTGTGTCTGTCTGTATCTCGATTCCTTTCCAAAAGGTACCTGCTTTGTGGAAAGGGTCATAAATTAGACGATCAGGCTCTGGTTCCAGTCCTGGCATTCCCTGTGACCTTGCTCTGGTCGCTCATTGCTCCAAGACCCGGACTTCTCCTCTGTAACAGATCTGTTGGACTATTGGTGGTTCCACACCAGAGTGGTATTGTCCCTGATCTGGGGCATGTGGAAATGGCATGGACATTTTTTTCACTTGTCATAATGCCTGGAGGTTGCCACTCACATTTAGTGGGTAGGGAACAGGGATGCTAAACCTGCAGTGCTCAGGAAGATCCCACCCAAATGCCAATAGCACCTTCATGCAGAAACACCTATAGATGGGCTACTAGGGCCCCAACAATTAATTCAGTGATTCTATGATTTTTAGATTTCCCTCTATGCTTCTTACTCCCTAAGAGAGTGAAGGCGGTTTCTCTTTAATGCTTTCTCTCTCTCTGTCACAATAACCCAAAGCTCCCTTTTTGCGGAAACTGATCTAAACAATGGAAAGGTCATTTTGGCCCTTGGAACCATTCCTGTTGTCCCTCTTAGTTTCAGCTGCCGAAGTGGCCAGCATCAGTCTGGTACATCCCCCAGGTACTGCGTATAAAGCTCGTAATAGCCTATAATGGAGTCTCATGGATATTACACGCTTCCAAATCCCACATTATCTGGTTGGGGGATTAAAGAGAAGATTGGGAGGGGGTAGGGCCACAGTGGGCCCCGAGGCTGGTGTCAGTACACAGAGCCGCGCAGCGTGCCCAATTCATTTGCTATGGCCCCCGCCTACCCAGCATTCACTGCTGGTGAGAAAGCAATGAGTGCCTCTGCCTCATCAAAACTGGAGAAGGATGCTGGAGAAATCCTCACTAGCCAGCAGACAGTATTTTTCCTGTGGCCCCTAAAAGAACTTCAGATTCAGGTCCTCAGGTAATGAAAACTTGCCTAGTAAACTTCTTGGTCAACAAGGTAATTAAGAAGGCACCCAAGCATATGTTCTTGAGCTTTTTTTTGCCCAATGAGGTTGTTGCTGGGGAGAATTCTGTGAAAGAAGACCTGGCTTAACCCTCACCTTAGCAGTCATACTGTCAGATTCCTGGCCGGGAAATTCCAGAGCAGCATATCCTAACCCTGCCTGCAATATAACAGCCTTCGATCTCTCATTGGCGCTGAGATTTAGTTCCTTTCCTTTCTCCTTCCTTCCTTGTTTCTTTCCTTCTTTCCTAGTTTCTCTCTTTCCTTCCTCTCTTCCCAGAAATAAGAACTCTTAAGGGAATGTACTCTATGGAGAAAATGAACTCGTGCCAAGACAATGGGCAAATCTGTCAAATTATGAAATGTTGAGTGACGTTCTCTTTCCCAAGCCATCCTGTGGTGGATGAAGGGGGAGCTCCCCATCCCAAGGAGTAATCAGCGAGCTGATTCTGCCGGTGAATGTAATTGTGCTGATCGTAATCATTTTGCTCCAGCTCTCTGCCCCTGTGGCATTTATTTCTTAGCCCAGATATTGATCTAACAGTGAGAAATTTTCCATCTGAATTTGTGATGCTGGACCCTCCCCTAGTCCGAAGATGCATTTGGGAAATTCTCATTTTCCATGGATCATAGCTGAACTATTTGGCCTGAGGGAAACCATGCACTGCTGGCGAAATGCCTTGGATTGGAGAGAGATTTTTGACCATTACGAGCAAATCAGAAATAAATGTAAAACGCTGCCTGGAAATGCAAAGCCCTATCATTATGGGAGATAGGTGAGAGGCTCCTGTGGGAAATGCTTAGAGAATTGGAAATCAGTCAATCAAAACCAGGATTGGAGAATGGGCCTTTTCCCCTCAGTATGAAGATAGATGACTTCCATGGGCAGATTGAAAATCATTTAAGTGCTTATTTTCTTAATGGCTTTTCCTAGATCCCAACAAACAGACTGCTCGTTCTGAATCAATTTCTCACCCCTGTGCTCTGGGCCTCCCTCTCCTCTTTTTTTGCTCAGACCTAGGATCTAAAATTTGGGAAGGAGAAGGGTGAGAAGGGACAAGGGCATTGAAAGAAAAGGAAATGACTAGTAAGGGCTGGCCTAGGAAAAGGTCACCTTGAAGTGAGGCTGGGTGGTCAGGGAACCCTGAAAAGCATGCAGCGCCCAACTCCCAGAACGCCATCAGCTGAGTGCAGAGCATTTGTTATGAATTGCACCCTCTTCCCAATCCTAGCTGGATCCAGCACTAGGAAGAGGTAAATGAAAGATTCCTCCCGAGGGTCCCGTTGGCTCTATGTCCCAACTAAAGCCACAGACATGATGTGGGAAGTTAGCGATTAGGGATTTCCCCTAGTTATTATAAAAGGACAGGAGGCAGAATAGAATGGGGAGGAATTAGAAGGGGCAGATAGCTCTCCCTGCATCTCCCATCTCCCATCCCAGAATCCAGCTTTCTCCTCTCTGGGTTAAAAGTGCCAGGCAAGCCAGCTCTCAGAGTCACCTTGGGGAAGGGATTCTAATAGGGACTTGGTAATGGCTGCTGCCTTTGTTGGTTTTGAAGGAGCTCTTGGCGTTTCATCTTCTGCTCAGTGGGCCGAGGTGGAATTGGTTAACAAAGACTGCTCCAGGGAGGGGATGTGGCTGACAAGCCAGACACTTCGCAGACACGGGAAGCAGCAGCTGTGGAGGGGGCCACCAGGTTGCCAGCAGCTGTACTGCCTACGGCTGTGATCTCGTCTGATATTGTCAGCTAAGCGGGGGCAGCCCAGGTCAGGAGCTAGATAGTAGGACTCAAAGGAAAAAGGCGGGGCAGTAAAGAAAGGGGCCTCAGAGCTGGGATTTGCTCTCGCTATCAGCATCCTGGCTGTACACATCACAAAAGATTCAGACCTTGTGATCCGACACATGTGTCACAGTCTGTTTCCAGAATATATGCAAATATCCTGAGCTCACCCATGTTTAGTATGCCACTGTCACAGGAAGTGGCAGAACAGAATAAAAAGAATTGGACAACCACCTTAACTACCAACTCCTGAAGGTGTTATTTTTTTCCCAATCATCATCAAATAGCATTAAGTTAAATACATTCATATCTATCAATTAAATTATGATATTGTGCTGGTTCTTCCAGAAGAACCTAGGAGAATAAGAACCACAAAGATGATGAATCATTTAGAGAATCAGAATTAAGAACAAAAGCTAAAAGAATTGGAATGGGAAGTATCTGTTCTGTGTTCCTACTAAGTAAAAGCACCAAATAAATTAGTGTGCCTGAGTAAATAAAGTTAGCCGTAAGAAAGGACTTGTTGATGATGATGATGATGATGATGATGATGATGATGATGATGATGATATATAATAAAACCTAAAAGGTGAAGGGGAATAAGAGGTTCAAATTTCCAGGTATAAAATAAAACAAATAAGTCATGGGGATGGGGGATGTGATATACAGCATAGGGAATATAGTCAATAATATGGTGACAGCATTGTACAGTGTCCGATGATTGCTGGATTTATCATGGTGATCACTTCCTCAGGTATATAAATGTTGAATAACTATGGTGTATACTTGAAACTAATACCATATTGTACGTTAGCTACATTTTAATAAAAATATTTTTTTAAAAAAATAACACCTAGCACTCTATAGGACTCGAAAGATTTTTCAAAGCATATTCACTCTACTCTTTCTTTTTCAAAATTGAGGCTATGAGACATCAGAATGGCCTTTTAAGAAAGTCTATGATATGTACCTGTCTGTAAATGCGCATTAGTAGTCTTCTGATCTGGGATGATTTAGCCATGAACTTGTTTGGAGACAGGAGGTACACAAAGTAACTAAACCAGGGGTCTAGCCAACTACCACCCACGGACCAAATCAGGTCTGACTCTTGTTTTTGTCTGTTGCTCAAGCCAAGATGGTTTTTATATTTTTAAATGGTTGACAAAAAGCAAAAGAAGGATATTTCATGACATGAAAATTATATGAAATTTCCATGTTCATACATAAAGTTTTATTGGAACACAGCCATGCTCATTTGTTTACATGTTATCTGTGGCTGCTTTTACACTGCAGTGGCAGAGTTGAGTAATTGGCAGAGTTGAATAGTTGCAACAGAGACCATATGCCTGCAAAGCCTAAAATACTTACTATGTGGCCATTTACAGTAAAATATAGCCAAGCCCTGCTCTAAACTAAGAGTATAGGATGTCTATGATTTTCACTAACAGGTTAAGTCCCTGATTACTTAGTAGCAACCCTCTAATGGTTGTGCGGATAATTAAATGAGTTAACATGTATCAAGTACTTTTAGAACATCCTTAGTTTCTTACTATAAGCAGCAAGTATATAATGATGATGATTTGTCAAGTACTAACTATTCTAAGCCCTTTACATACTTATCCTCACAATAGCCCCATGAAATAGGTATTATTACCCCTACTTTACAGATGAGAAAGCTGAGGCTCACGGAGGTTAAACAACTTGCTCTAAATCACACAGCTAAATGTGTCAGAGCTGATATATAGAGCCAGGACTGCCTAGTACCAGAGCCCTTCCAAATTCCTGTCCTCCTGCCAAAAAGGAAGATTGTGAGCATATGAGAATCTCCTTCCCAAGGGTCCCTTTCCTCTCTCCCACTTCAGCAGCTGCTCCCCATGATGTCCATGGTTGCTGCATTCCATGTGTCTCCTCCCACCCTTTTTGCTCCCTGGCTCAATGGAGGTAGGACATGGCTGGCCCAGAATAGGTAGAAGGAACTGCCATTTATTAAAAGGCTCTAGGCACTGTGCCAAGCATTTCATAAGAGTTTCATTTAATCCTCACAAAACCCCCATGAGAAAAATGAGACACAGAGAGATACAGAAACTTTTCCAAGGTCACACAGCTGGTAAAAAGTAGAGCACAAAGGCACATTCAAGCCTGTCTGACTCCGGAATCATCTTCCATCTGAAAGATTCCAGACTCTTCTAATATCTCTTTTAGTCACCTCCTTGTCTGCTGGGGAGAAGTGTGCCCTCCAAGGCCTCAGCACAAGATACTCAGCAGTATTCACAGATGGCTGACAGAGAGGGGTCCCTTTGCCAAGCCACCCCTCAGCAAGACATGCTCTTTTATTTGGGTGCTGGGTGCATTAACTGCCTCTGGAATAAATCTGTAATTAGCTGCCCTAGCTCTATTTGCATAATGGATTTCACTTTGTTCTTAAGTTAATGGGGTTTCTGCAACAGAACAGTAACCTCTTGGTTCCTGGCCATTAAAATAACTGCCACCCTGTAGGGTAGAGCCAGAGTTTTGTAGGAAGTTCAGTTAAAAGCCACAGAGAAGATGGGAAGGGAACTGGGGTGGGTGGTTAAAGTTACAGGTTGTCTGCCTTCTTCTCCATGTGTGTTTGAAAGGTCAGTGAGAAGAGGGTCTTAAGGGTTAGAGAGATCCATGAGGGCAATAAGGAGAGAGCTGCAGGCTCACTCTCTAGCAAGCGATGGGGTCTGAGGAGCATCCCTATTTTCTTTCCTATGAGAGGAAGTATTCAGAGAGAACGGAATGGATTTTTCGGAGTCACTCTGGGAGTTGGGAGCTGTATGCAGTATGAAAGGTTAAGATACTAGTAGGAATATAAAGAATCAAGACAGCAGCCTCCTTTTCTGTATCAGTCCCTGCCCTAAAAGAATCTCAGATGATTCCACAGAGATATAGATACAACTTCTGCTAGCCTTGGGCACATGGTCTGAACCTAGTCCTGGAACTCAGAGCCTAGAGGGAGCCACTGGAACTGTGGAGAGATCTAGTGACAGGGAGCAGAATGCTTCTATGCATCTGGTACTTCCCTAGACCCTGCGTCCCTCCATTGCATTTCGAGTGTTCATGGCACTGGCCCCTCACATACTGGAAGCACTAGGCCCCATGATTCAAGACATTCTTCCTTCTACCCAAACCTGTATAATTGGATTCCAGTCTCTTGCTCCAGCTGGGCCCATATCTGGTAGCACTCATCCATCATCTGGGTGTAAAAGTCTTCAAGGTATGCCCTTCGGATTATCCGGCTCTGTCCGTGGGAGCTTCCTCGGGAGTGTGGTAGGAAGAACTGGAAATGGAGACTAAGAGAAGCTATTACTCCTTGCACTGCCCACCCCCCGCTTTAGAAACCAGTCCATCACGTGCTGTCAATCAAGAGCACTTATTCTTCAAATATTTCCATACATTCTCCCTTTTTGACCAAGTTCTGACTATTAGAACAGAGTTCTGCATATCGCTAACTCAGCCTCCTTTTTTGCTAACATCATTCATATCCCAAAGTCCTTTTGTTAGTCTTCAGTCATTCTGCTGCTACACTATCTCACTTAAACTCATAGAGAAGCAGAATTAGAAAGAATCTTTGAGATCATACTAGTCTAGCCCCCATTTTATGGACAAGAAAACATGCTGACTATTTCTCTGTGGCTTAAGATCACTCAGGACAAGGAAACCACTTGGGATTTAGCAAAAAGATGAAGAGTTTCCTAAAATCTTGAAGCAAGAATCCCTTAGGCTTTGAGAAAACTGATAGATAAATGAAAAAGGTTTCTAAACACTCCAGTTCATTACCAAGAAGAATAAACTAAAACTAACCTGGATAGCTCTAGGCAGAATGAGAAGATAGAAACCTTCAGAAAGTAGGCTGGCTAAACCTATCCCAGGAAGGACCCTGTAGATAAACAAGCCCACCAGCATGTGCAATGGTCACTGTAGACTGCACTGCATGGGAACACCTTTTCTGTAAGAAAATAATAAAACCTAAGTCTTATTCTTGTGTATCAAAGAAAGAGGTTGCTATTTTCTGGAGGTGGGAGAAAAAACAGAAGCCTCTGCTGGGTTCTAAGGTGAGAGGCCGGGAATATACCGGGATGAACCCTACCTCTGAGGCTGACAAATCAGCCTTTGCCTCTAGGCAAAACTGTCTTTACTTAAGGTTACCCAAAACAGAACTGGTTCTCTTTCTAGGTCAGATCAACCATTTTGGCAAAGAAGGGGCTGGGTGACAAGAAAGAAGAGAACAGGACCTGGAACACTTCTTGGTCAAGGGCAGGAATTGGGGTAGTAAAAAGAGGAAATGTGCCTAGAAACCCAATGTGGGTCTTAGGGAGGGTAGAACTTTCTTTGCATTGTCATGAAACACTCCAGACAGCTAAGCTACAAATTGCACAGAATTTGTGATGATCCAGTCCTTTGTCCTTACCCCTTGAGCCTGCTAGCTCTGGAAAACCCTCTCCAGAGGGAGAGAGACAGACATTTCCTAAGGTCAGGAGTGTAGAGGGGACACAGTATCTATTCCAGCAAAAGGACCCTCTTTCCATGTTTGGCCAGATGGTATGCAGTGAAGCAGCCCTGGGTGCCTGCCCCAATCACAATGGCATCACAGAGATCTTTCGGAGCAGCCATGATGCCCACTAAATCAGCCCTGTAGCCACAGAGCCCACACACAAAGGAGAAGGCAAACAAAGTAGGCTCTGGGCTGAAAGAGGAAGAATAGGGCAAAGACCAGTCTGGCCAACATTCCCACAATCCTCTGGGGCTGTGTCCTTCTCTCTGCTCCTCCTTCCTCCAAAACCTGGCACAGGGCTCAGCCTCCACCTCCCCTGCAGAGCAGAGCTGTGTAGTCTGATTTGTGAGGTTTAGCCCAGCTCAGCTGCCAGCCTCACCCTTGCATCCCTCTAGCTTTCTATTCTTGGCTCAATTATTGTCATGCAAATGGGCTCCTTCCTATGCCACCTTCCTGTCTCATTATGATCTTTGTCTCTGGGACTTCGGCCCTGGAATTTCAATGCCTCCTAGACCAAGCTGGGCACCAGGAATGCTGCTTCCCCCTGCTGGTTTCCCTCTCTTCAGCCTGATTTCCTTTGGAGATTCTAGAGGGCTGAGCTAAGAATTTGGCACTATGCCCAGGGTAAAGTCCACCTCCCTGGTGGGTGGCGAGATCAGGGAGAGACGCAGGGGCCAATTGAGAGGGCAGTTTTGTGATTATGAAATTATTCCCAGCATGTTTTACTTTCATTTTTTTTTTAAAGGAGAAGAAGAAATGATCCTGAACAAATGGAAAGGACAGAGTAAGAGGAAGAGCCTTCTCCTGAGGCACACACAGGGGACTAGGTGCCAGCCTTGGGCATGGAAGGGCCCTATAGTGAGTGTTCTCTCTGGGCCAGGCAGTGTGCTAAGTAAATACTTCCACATGCATTCTGGACAGAGCCAGGAATGATAGAGCCTGATTCCTATACAATTTGGGGGTCCTCTTTAAGAAAAGGAAAAAAAAATTATGAATACAAAATTAGGTGCTAGGACTTGGAAGAGATCATGTAATTAAGGAGCCCCACGGTTGAAGTTTCATTAGCTTCATGGTAAAACTGCCTCTGCATGTATTGTCTCATTCAATCTTTATAGTCCCAGGCATAAGTATTTTTATCCCTACTTATGGCATGTTAAAGATGGCCCCAAATTCTTTGTCACTCTTCCTATCACGGGCTCTGTGACTGCTTGGCCAATAGAATATGACGGAAATGACACTGGGACACTTTCTAGCCCAGGCCTTAAGAGACCAAGCTTCCTCTTCTTGTCTTGAAGCATTCGTTGTTGGAGCCCTGAGCCTCCATGTTAGAGGTCCAGGAGAGACCATATGCATGGCCCCTAAGACCACGTGGAGAGCCAGACATAAGAATGAAGCCATTTTGGACCCCCAGCCCAACCCAGCCACCAGCTAAATACCACTGAGTAACCCAATTTATGCCACATGGAACAAAAGAATTACCCAGCCAAGCCCCATCTGAATTCCTGACCTACAAAATCATGAGACAGAATAAAACAATTGTCATTTTTAGCTACTAAGTCTTGGGGTAGTTTTTTAATGCAGCCATAACCGAAATACCACTTTACAGCCAAAGACATTAAGTCTTAGAGGGGTTATAACTCGCCCTGCTAAACATGGGCACTGAGTTCCGAACCCAGGTTTGTCTGCTCCAGAACCTGTTTCCTTAACCTCTGTGCTATACTGGGAAATGGTCAAAACTTTTCATGATAATTTTTATTTGACTATTTTGCTGTTTCTCTCATGGCCATACTGTGAGTGGAAGAAAATAATGGACTGAGACATCCGTGTGACCACAGGGTGCTGCCCAGCCTCAGCGCAGTGGCCTGACACCAGCAAAGAATCCCCCCACCCCTGAGTGACATTGGCAATGAGCTGTCCTCTCAGCCCTGCCCTTCCTTTCCTAGGAATATAAGGGCCCAGAGAAGTAAATCTTCATGGAAGTGTGCCCATTTATTTATTTATTCCTAAATAAATAAATAAAAGTTATTTATTCCTAAATAACTTCAAGGCATGATTATGTGGCTATCAAATGAGCAAAAATAAATAAAAATGATAAAAATCTGTTGTCAGAGCTGTAGGGACAGAGAGAGAATAAGGTGGCAACCCAGATTGTCTAGGCCTTCTGGAAAGTGCTGGGGCAGTGTGCAAGAATGGTAAAATTGTTTAAAACTTCTGACCTAGAAACTTGACTTAGGGAACTATACCCCAAGGAAATATCCAAAGAAAGAAAAAGACATTTGTTTGAAGACATTCATAGCTGTGCCCTTACAATATAAAAAATCGGAAACAGCCCAGCCACAGGGAATAACTGAACAAACTATGGCACATTGACACAATGGAATACTATGTAGCAATTCAAAATGACAAATGTGAGGACTATGGGCTCTACAGAAATGTGTATATGAAATCATACTGAGGAAAAGAAGCAGAACACAAATAGACACACGGATCACAACTGCGAGTTGTGTGTGTGTATGTGTGTGTGTGTGCATCATCAAAGAGATAAAGAGAATTTGGCGAGGTAATTGAGTTTAATGCTCATTAGTTTCCATATTCTATAAAAATTGTGTTTCCACTGACAATCTGTAAAAGGAGAAATCCCCTGGGGACACAGATGCTTTAGATCTCCCTGGTCACTGGCTCCAGGGCCTGGGCAAGTTCTTTCTTTGTTCTAATCTCAGTTCTTCCTGCTGCCCTCCGACATTTCTTATTGTTCATCCTCCAGGGGAGCTACGAAGCGGCTCTTAGCCCCCCTCTCCTTTGTTTAATATAATATCCCTTCAGAGATAAAATGACAATTCCATTTCCCCATCCCTACTTCACAAGCTTGCCCTGGATTCCTGGACTCAAGTATAATGCTGCTTGTTAAGAATTTCAAATGGCTCCTCCGAAAGCAGACACTGGCCATGGCCCAACCTTAAAATGAAAAGCAAATCGACTTCTGAAGGTTTCCCCTCTCTCTCAGGGTTGCCCGTCATTGAGGTTGTCCTGACATGAGGAGGCAGAGAGAAGCGATCCCCTCAAATTCCATTTTAACACCCATTCTGAACCGGAAGACTATGAAAGGGAGAGCCACAGCCCTACACCATGCTGCTGTGTGTCAGCAATTGTGGCTCATGTCCTGGGACAGAGCCATGGAGAATGTAAGGCTGAACTGCTCATCTGATGGCTTGATTGACACTTTGCAGATGGGGGTGGGAGAGCCGAGCCAGGGAAGCAGCAAGCTGTACAGCTCAGAAATAATGAGGGTACCCAAATCCACAGAGAGAGAGAGAGAGAGAGGGAGAGAGAGCGAGTGAGCGTGAGAGACAGAGACAGAGACAGAGACAGAGACAGAAACAGAGAGAGACAGAGAGAGACACCTAGAATTTGAATGGCGAGGGAGAGGCTTCAGTTCTCTTTCCTCTGACTCCTGCCAAGGAGCTGGAGCCTGGGGCAAGGAGGCAGGCGGGCCATCCAGGAAGTGGCCACTCTGAACCCATCCTGCCAGCTGCTGGGGGTGACTGGGTCCCTGAATGTGCAGAGGACGCCAGTGTGAAAAAGTGAAGAGCAGTAGAGCTGGATCTATACGTGGTCTCCATACACACTGAGGACCCACTGACTGTCCCTGGTTTCATCCCCTCTCCTCCATCATTGCTCCCTTTGCCCCAGATCATCCATCCACCTTCCCTCACCTAGATGCTTGCATTAACCTCATAACCAATCTCCCCACCCCATCCTTGCCCCTTTATCTATCCTTCCATGTTCCTGCCAGAGTCCTCTCTCTAAACGGTAAATCTGAACAGGTCACTTCCCTGCTGAAAATTCTTTAATAACTGCCCATTTCCTATGAGGATAAAATTACAACTCCTTAATTTGGCACATAAGGCAGTTTGTGTTCTGGCCTTCGCCTGCTCCTGCAGCTCTACCGTGGGTCCCTTCTCACTGTGCTCTTTAGGCCCTGGCTGCACTGAGCTGAGAGAGCTTCCAGCATTTGCTATGATGATTTCAAATTCCCTGACATCCCCAAGCCCACTTGGATGGCTTCTCTCCTATAGTCCCATCCCGCTCTATCTAGTCTCAATGATAACATGAGCATAGTGTATTGTAATTGTTTGCATGTCTGCCTTCCCCCCAAACTCCTTAAGAAAAAGAGGTCTTCTTTTGATTGTCATTTTTCTTAGATAATACACACATGTGGAATAACAATTAAAAGATATAAAAGAGAACATTGTGAAAGGAAGTCTCCTTCCCACCCTGCCCTCAGCCACTTTTTTCTCCTTATCACATGCAATACTGTTACTATTTTCTTTTGTGTCCTTCCAGATGTCCTATGAGTATACAAACATACTTATACAGTATATTCTGGGTCTGTTTTTTCCCCCTCTTTAATTCCGCCCCCCTACCCCACCCCGCCCTACTTCCACCCCTGACCTACGGAGGATGTTGCCGTCTCCTTTTTTTTTTTTTTTTTTTAAAGAACTGGATCTCTGAAGGCAGGGCGTCTTCCCCCATGAGCTCGCAGCGCCCACCTGGGGCCAGGCACCCCCGGTGCACGTGGGGGGCCTGGCACACCCAGGATATGGTCCGTGGCTCTACCCAGGACCTTCTGCATGTAAAGCAGACGTGCTAACCATTCCACTATGGAGCCACCCCATTGTTGTTGTTGTTGTTGTTGTTGTCGTTTTAATCTCAAAAGGAGCATACTATACAGCACCTTGCCGTTTCTGTTTCCACTACCTTGGCTTCCACTTGAGTCATATGGAGCCGGCACATTCTTCCTGATGGCTGCATAGTCTTTTATGGTGTGAAGGAGGCACTTGGGACAGAGAAGGCACCCATGTGTGTTGGCTGAATAGATGGTGAGTTTCTCTGGCTGTCGGAGGCAACCTATCTATAATCATCCCTCTAGCCATCTGGTATTAGGTGTTGAGGGAGGTGAAAGGTCCATCTGGGCTGGCCCAGCAAGGTACATCTTCAAAGGCTGACAGTGCCTTTTGTGAGCTGCTGAGGGCAGTGCCCACCTTCAGGCCAGAATTTGGGGGAGGGGGGAGGTGAACACCCAGAGACCCTGGCTTCTGCTTCCTGCCATGGCTTTGTT